AAAACAATAGAAAATGGCTTAACCCAATTATAGCCTTAATATAAGAGCGAATTAGCGTTGAATAAGCATATTGGCCTAAAAATCTATAACAAGTGTTAAGCGATTCACTAAAATGTTGTATTTATTGTCTAATCACACTTTTTAACAACATAACCTTAAAATTTGTGTCTGAACAAGTGACAGATATTGTCTAACCTCACTTTTAAGAAACATAACCTAAATTAAATATTAAACAGATGAATACGCACAAGATAACAGGGGGGCCAATAACTTTATATTAATTTTAGAAATCTAAAGCAAGTTTTAATTATTTAATGTTTGGCAATTAAATTTTGTATTGCAAAAACGTACAGTGACATTAAAAAATATAAAAAGCGTTTTAATATACCTAAGTGGTTTATTAGCTGGAAAAAAATAATTGGAATTAAGTCAAAAAAACGTGTTTAAGCTAGTTATAATTACTATTAATTAATTTAAAAATAAAAAAATGGTTCTAATTAAACTTTTACTTTTTCAGGCGAAACTTTTTGTAACAACGACATTAGACTGTAAAATTCAAATTTTAAACCAAAAAAGCTTTAATTAGGTAATAGTTGAATTTTTCTACTTGTATACCTACAAAACCGTCATAACTTTATCATTTACCATAGTTTTTACAAATTTAAATATGAAATATTTCTGACAGTTCTGACATTTCTCTACCAAACATGAATTGACTAAGTCAAAGCCATCTAAATTTTAAATTATAAATAAAACTAACAATATCGCTTCTTAACTGCATTAAAAAAATTATTATATCTTTTACATGGATAAAAATAACAAAACTAGACTAACGAGACTGAAAAGATGAAGGTTGGGACTGCATTTTCTGAAAGTTTCAGATTTTTATTTTTTCCTCAACATAATGATTTCTGAGGGCAAAATTGCCTAATTTTAAAAATTATCAAGTTTCAATAACTTTTTTAATAAAGAAAATGATAGTCTAGAAACTTAAAATAATAGTTACGTTTTCTATTGTATAAGTACTTGATACCTGAAAAAAAGCAACTTTCTAGATTTAGCAGAATAGGCACAGGAGCCAGACAAAAATCACAAAAATTGGCAAATTATCATGAATCTTTAGTGGTTTACCATTCTTTTGTGAGATTAACTAATTGGATAATAATAATTTATATCGAAAACACACTTACTGGACAGTAAAACAAAATTAAAATTATTTCAATATTTGTCACAGAAAAAAAGTTCTGGACCACTATAAAAGAGTAAGAAATTGACACGATTTCAGATTTCTAAAGGGTGCCGATTAAAAGTAAAGAATCCAAAAATTAAAACGGCAACGGATTTTCATATTTGATACCTAAAAGATCATCCTCAATTTTTTTTATCAAAATAAAAAATCAAGCAGCGCACCCTTTTGGTGTTTTTATAACTTATAAGTAATATTGAAATAACCTTAATTTATCTATATATAGGTAAATTTAGTAACATATCAACCTTAAAAAATTGTTAAAAGTGTAATACAACTAGTTGGTTAAAAAACAAGTTTAAAAAAGGTTATTTTACGTAGAATGCTAGTTATTTAACCATTTTAAAAAGGTAAAATTTGGCGATAGATTCGTTATTTGTATTGGTCATTTAGTTATTTTTAGGCAGATACTTAGGTACTTAGTATTAATCAACTTCTAGACAGATTTAATACAATTTTCTTCGATTCTGGGTCACAAAAATTATAGTAACCAATTTACCAATTACGTGAATAATTGAATTATTGACACTGGGAAAAATATACTCCCATATACTATGGGTAAACAATAAAATGTGTATAATTTTAACACAATGAAATAAAATACTATTGCTAAGATGTGAACTATTGTGAATAATAATAATCAACAAAATTTATTGACCAACTAAAAAAATAATTAAAATTTTGAAATTCGAAATCTGTGTCAAGTTTAAAAAATTAAAATTATATAAAATCATCAACCCATGAATTTGATAGATGTGCTAATGTGCCAGAATAATTATTTATTCAGTTAAAACAATATGTACCTATCCATTGGTGTGCCAAGGAGGGGCAGGGGACAGCTAATGAATAAAAATATTTTTATGGTAGTTCTTTTTCATAAAAAAGGTCCCACTGAAGAGGTAAATAACTTTGAAAGTAATAACCTATTTTCAAATTATCGAACAAAAAACAAAAAATACAGTAAACATGGTTGTATACAATCAAAGAAATTGTCGCAAAAAGAGGAAACACATTCGATAAACTACGAAGAATGGAAAAACTGGATAAAAGTAACCCGACCCCCTAAGGGCATACGGATTTTTAGTAGCGGGTCCATGGACCATAATGCATTATGGGACAAAAAAGTTCGCACGTTACTTTGGTAGTAATATTTTTGTTTTTTTGTTAAGAGCAGGGCTGTGATTAAATTTCAATAAAAATGCGTTTTAATTTTAATTCTGAAAACAAACAGTAAAATGGCCAATGTCCAATTACTGGTTGGTAAAAAATGTAAATTTCTATTATTGGACGTATGTCCAATATCATACTCTATTTGTATCCCGGACATTTACCAGCCAATTCTTATGTAAAATTGTCCTTTGAATCAGAAAAGACCGTCAAAAACTATAAAAGTTAAGCAGGTTTTTAGATATAGGCAATTCCATATTATATGTAAAATTGATTATATTTCAAAAACTGTTCTACTTTTATAACTTTTAACGACATTTTCGGATTTAGCAAATAATATTACATAGGAATTGACTGCTAAATGTTCAATACAAATTGCTGTTGACAAGAATTATTATTGGCCGCTTTTTCGCTGTGACATATTTGACTAATTCATTTTTAGAGAGTCAGTAATATGATTTCTTCGTCACAGGACATCTTGCAGAATAACAGTGCATGATAGAGAACATTAAAAAGTAATGACAACAAAATTAATAAATTCGGAAAATACTTTTAACATACCACCTGAAAAAATATTAGTTATGTATAAATAATCCAGTTCCGGCCTAAACATTATAAATGCTTCACAAACTAAAGATACCACACTTAATGATATTTGCAACAAACTATTTTAGAAGTCAGACCAAGGAATTAGTAGTTACCTTAAGAATCCAGAAAAGGGATGAGAAATCCGAGAAAGAAATATATGAATTGTATGATATATACAAAAACGAAATAAAAAAAATTACCTAAAACAGCAATTTATCTTTAAAAAATATTTAAATTATTGATATGTCTATAAAAAAATTGTATGTCCAATAACTTGGTCCATGTGTCCAATTACTATATAAAATGTCCAATTACTATACTTTTTATATATTTATAAGAAAAAAACTAAAATCTTTAAAACAACGGCATATATAAATTTTAAATAAATAATAAACCCTAAGGGTCCAATAACTATGTGGTTTACCCTATTTGTCTAGTTTTTTGAAGAGGCCGACTTAATTTAATTATGACTCACTTTTTTATATTTAGTACGAATATAATTGCACACTTTGTATATTTTAAGTTAATTTAGCGTAATTTAATAACTGAAACGTGTTAGAATGTGCAACGCATTGCTAACAGGCATATTTAATTAGAATATAAGCTGTATTACAAGAAATTATTGTAAATTATCTAATACTCGTAGAATATCATTTTTAATAACTTTCTACTCCCACGTTTAAAACGCCCATTATCGTACATATCTCCATGACACTAAGTCACCTTTTAACTACACATTGACAAGTTGCGGCTTTAAGGGGCTTTAGTCACGGGCTGAAGTTAGCAACAGGTTTTTAGTCACGGGCTGAAGTTAGTTTTAAGTTAGTTGACAGTTGTCAAATGTAATACAATTGTTAAAATAAAGTGCCTTTCTTGTAAAATAATACTAAATGTAATATTTTATTATCTTAATACAAAAACAAAAGTAGTAGTAATAGTTTCTTGAAAATTTTGGGTACAGTGCCCATAAAACATTCTCTTCTCTTTTACTGTGAGAGAACTGCTTCTACATCGATTGTTTGTATACGAGGTGTGTTCAGAATATATCGGCAATTTTCGTTTTTTAAAACAAATAATTATTTATTCGTCCACATTAATGTTGTCGCCTTCAAAATAGTCCCCATTGGATATTATGCACATGTGCCAGCTCTTCTTCCATTACTCGAAACACTTCTAAAACTCGATCTTTGGGATAGCCTTTAGTTATTTCAGCGCTTTTAATGTCATCTATGCTTGCAAAACGACGGCCCTTTCAGGTTCTCTTTGTTTTTGGGAATAGGAAAAAGTCAGACAGAGGCATGTCTGGCGAATATGGAGGCTGGGGCATCATTACAGAATTGTTTTTGGCCAAACATTTTGTTCAAAATTTAACAATTTTAAAACAAATTTTGCTGCCAAACATTCGAAAAAATTTCATGGGATGAGCCAATCTATATATATACCAACATCATCAGCGACTTCTCTGATGGTTTATAACCATTACTTCCACTTTTTCCATGTTTTTATCGGTTGTTAATGTGCTTGTGCGTTCGGGGCGTTCGTCATCTTCAACGTCTTCACGGCCATCTTGGAAACTCTTATACCACTTGTAAACTCTTGTTTTACTTATAGCAGACTCACTATAGGCCTTTGTTAACATTTCACAGAATTTAGTTCATTTTTTAAGCAAAATTGGATACAAATTCTTTGATCCCTTTCTTTTAAAGAACGAAAAATCGCCGAGCTCATAAAACACGTCTAACCTTAGCGGCTGCCACAGACAAAGTAAACAATAAAAACAGCTAAAGTTTTTATCATCCTTCGGGGGCATGTATACCAACATAATAAAGAAAATTTTATGACAACCGGACCCTCTGAACCCGCGAAATTGATTTTTATTTTTAAATTTTGATTTTTTATGTACTAAATTAAAACAACAAAACTTTTAATAGCATCAAAAAAAAAATTGCCAAGAGAATAAAGAGAAACTGACATACCAGAAAATAACCGAAAAACTCACCATGTCTTAATTTTTATCATGTCCTTCTTCCTATTTTCCGGGGCATTTTTTAATCCATCTATAAAGGGATGCGAGTTTTTTAATTCCAAACTCATGGCAATCACTATAAATCACTGCAGGAAATCACACAACACAAATTTCGGACAGCGAAAAAGTTCTTGATCGCACAGGTTACGTCTGTTGCGTCGTTCGAGCGAGACTAGGTACCTGTTGCTCGATTGTTTTAGTTCACGGTGTGCGATTTCTTGAGTGCAACTCGAAGAAAGTTGGGGGACGATGTTTATCCATCTACATATGAACGTACGTATACGTAGAGATGCCTGGGTACCTGTTTGCTGCGTACCATCGAACAGGTGGTCATCGTTGGGTTGAATAGACGCGCATCGCGAGTTGCCAATTGCTTATCCAGTAAGTCACAGGGGGTCAAGTCTGGAGAATACTGAGGAAGCGGCAGCAATTCCTTGGAGTATTGTTGTATTTTTGGTGAATAAAGAACAATGTGTTTTCTGTAGTTCTATCCCCATCTTCTACATTCTCAGTGACCTTGGTTTTGCTCTTGTTTTACCCTTTCATCTTTGGAAAAGTTTTGCCAATAATTGTATAATACCCAGATATATCACACAACGTCTTGAAGATGTCTTTTGTATGTCTGTATTATGCCTGAACGTCTGAAGATCTAAAAAAGACGTCTGCAAGACGTCTTTTGATAGACGTCTTAAAGATATCTTCATTTAATGTTCTAAATACATCTTATTATTGCCTGATACCGCCGCTTATTTTTTTTTTTTTTTTGAGAAAATAGTGAATTTTGACAAGTCAAAATCAAAAAACACCCGCCTTCCGCTGTCCGTAAGTTTGAATTCCAATAACTTTGTTAAAAATTATCGGATCTTATTGATTTAAAAATCAAGTGAAAGCCTAACAAGCCCTTAGTAAACTCTTTCAGAAAATGTTTGTTTAGTTATTTCAGAATAATTTTTTTTTAATTTTGAAACTTGTGAAACACACATTTTCGCATGTCCCATTAGCGTTTTATAAAACTTACATACATGTTTTTTTTTAATATTGAATAACCAGAACTTTGTGTTGCTTTATAGCAATCCATAACATCCTTAGTTAATACAGTAAACAATTTATATATATCTTTTTAAATTTGTCCCAGACATTTTTTCCGTTGCGTTATGTCCGTCGCGTTACCGATAGAATATTAAAAAAACATATATATGGCAACTTTTTGGCACTCACGTGATTAACAAATTTGTGATGTTCGGACGTACACATTACCCAGCTGAATTTATTTATTCAATCAGGAAGAAGATATCGGTTGAAACAGGTGCGGGTAACGCGAATGTAATAATTGTTTGTCCGCTAAGTTACTCAAAAAATAATAAAAATAAGGTAAGAAAAAATTGTTCATGTTTATGTTTATTTTAGGGCACTAAAGCTCATTGAGAGTAATTAATGACTGTAATGTTTTATTATTATTTTTTAAATATGGTTTCACAAAACTTTGCCCACTGCGTTACCGAGTCCATTACGTTACCTTATGGTAACGCAATGGAATTTAGGGTAACGCAATAGAATTTTTCGACAACAAAGTGAATATTTACCGTCGCTTTTATTAAAAGTAGTTTATGATAAACCAATTTAAAATTATTTGTGATTACAACTCCTGATATAGATTACATCCAAGGGAAAATTCCACGCAATATACAAGTACTAAAAATCCAACCAAGTCAATTTAAGCATTTTCCTGAAAACGGGTGTTTCTTGAAAATGACCCAAATATGTAACAATTTTTTTTTTAATAGAAATATTCGTTATTTTTAGAAGTTTAAAAGCATTATTAGCTACCACAGAGTAGACTCTGTGTTCTACTCTTTGTTAGCTACATTTTAATTACTTAATACCTTAAAAACGTTTTGGCGATGTAGCAAAGCATAACCAAGAAGTTTTCAATAGGTAGTCTTTAACATCTTAATGACGTTTAGCAACGACCTAATAATGCCGTTAAAAGGATATCTTAAAGACGGTGTGTTTTGTAACATTAGATATCTTAAAGATGACTTAAGATATCTTTAAGATTTCCTTTAAAAGTTTCTTCTATATCGGGAGGTGTATCTTCTGCTGCTTCTGAAGCTTTTAAGATCTGAACTATGGAATCAGGTTATTGCTATTTAAAATAAAAATTATTATGTTAACAAATTATGGAGTATTCTTATGGTTTTAATGAATGAACTGATTAGTAGTGGGCAGTAAGAAAAACGTGGTAAACAAAAAGAAAAGGAAAGCACAACAAAAATCAGCTGATGTGGTTTCAGCAGCCGCACCAGCATTTAAAAGTAATAAACGTGTTACATAATTGAGGAGAAATCTTCACCTCTTAACTTATCGACAACAAAGACCTAAAATATGTAGGTACTGATCAGTGAAAGTTTATCAATTTAGTTGTTTTGTTTTATTAGTTAAGAACACCTAATCCTTAAATATTATTCAACTAAAACTAGGTACTCATATATCCTATAGGATCCAGGAACTATGTTATTATTTTAATAATATATCTACCTACTTATACAGTTTAAATTTAAGTTATTTTCCCACGATACATATGCATATGGGTAGTTCTTTAGAACTTTATATATAAAAATTATAATATATTTTTTCTACTCCCCCTTTAAAACGCCCTTTATCGCACATGTTTCCATGACACTAAGTGACCTTTTAAATACACATTGACACGTTGTGGATTTATGGCGCTTTAGTCACGGGCTGAAGTTAGCAACAGGTTTTTAGTCACGGGCTGAAGTTAGTTTTAAGTTAGTTGACAGTTGTCAAACGTCATACAATCGTTAAAATAAAGTGCCTTTCTTGTAAAATAATACTAAATGTGAAAGTTATTTTATTATCTCAATACAAAAATACAAAAGTATTAAATAGTTTCTCAACGCCAATATTTGAAAAGTTTATATGAACATTGTACTGACCTTTTAATTTCGCCGGCAGTAAACTATAACTTAAATTCGGGCACGGACTCCACTGTAAAGTGCCCATAAAACATTTTCTTTACTTTCACTGTGAAAAACTGTCAATTTTCTGGAAATACATTTCGATTTATAACCTTTATAATCTGTGTTTATAAAATAAAAAAATTTGACATTTGACGGTGACACACAGATTCCTCTATTGTTTCATAGATGGCGCTCTATACAAATTTTTTATTTAAATCATTTTAAGATAATAATAAGTATTTGTCGTAGAAAAAGTATAGTATGCACCTCGTTTATAAACTTTTCTATACACTCATTAATTTAAGCACTCGCTCGCAAGCTCGCTCGAGCCTAAATTAAATTCGTGTATAAAATGGCCTTTATCAAACTGGATACATAATATACTATTATTCTATAAAAGTACTAAATTATAAAAATGTTTGATTTTAAGGTTATGTTTGTACAACAAATATTTTTGTTAGATTTCTTAAAAATGTCCAAACTTGCTACTTTTAATTCAGTGTTTAAGTTTTCCAAGACATATCCGACTGAATTTACTAATTAGGTACAGTTACAATAATTATTAGTACCTATATACTAGTTGCAATTAGTATATACCTACTAGACTTAAGAATATGCCAATAACGAAATACTTACTCATATTTTGTATTTTTACTAAACAATTGTGCAACTGCAAGTAAGTTAGGATCAAATGTACCTACAGATTTATATAATCGCTTTCACTATTAGGTATACACAATTATAAGAAAAAAATCAAATTTCTATTAAGTTGATAATTTAAAAACAATTATTTTCAAGAATAAATTATACCGAAGTACCTAATTGTAAATAATAAAAAAATTGACCTTTTGACAGTTCGAAGCTATTTAGTACTTAATTTAAAGAGTGATAAATAAATAACAGTAGGCTGGGACAGCAAAATTCAGCTGTGCCAATGTAGTAAAAATAAAACGTTGTATTTAAATAAACAAATTAATACTTTATTACAAATCAAAGTATCGTTTAAAACTAAAAACAACATACCAAGTAAATAAGTAATAATATAAATTGTTAATTTGTTGTTATAATGGCAAAATTAAGGTTTAAACTGTCATGTTTTTGTGTTTCCTAGGTTGGCAGCACGAAATTTATAAAATCTGATATAAAAAATCCACCTAAAACATACAGATTCCATTGAGACTTTAAATGGTCCAGTCTTATAGAAGTTATTAATCTATGTTATAGAGCATTGCGTGTTTTTAAATAGGCACCCTGTATATTACATTGCATTTTTTTCACCCACCTCGTATACCAAATTAAAAGCCGTTAGCTTTCTTATTGTAAATAATAACTTAATTAATTTACAAAAATATAATATAATGTATAACAAGTGCATATGCTTTTTTGCTGTTGAATTCAGTTTCTTCCATGACCTGAATATTTTTAATGAAACAGAGTGGTTCAAATTTCTCTTGTGTTTTTTTTCAAACTACCAATTAATAAACAATGTTTTTTATTGAATATTTATATTTTATATGAATAAAAAGGCTGTAAATTCAGTGATTTTATGTAATTATTTATATTAATTTTGAAATTATTAAAATATCTGACACCAAAAAACTTGACATGATTGTTTTAAATTCACGTTTTGGCAGAACAAGTTCCATTTTACTTTTACCAGGTTAAGTACGTTATGTAAGAGTATTAACATGAAATCTGTATTTATTTGGGTTATTTTATTTCTTAAATTTAAAATATAATTAAATAATTAATAAAGCATAAGGTAAACTGGAAATTAAAAATCTCTCAAAACCGTTTCTAGAATCTGTGGGAAATGATAGGGCTTGAACAGGTAGAAGAGGACCAATAGAATGGCCTCCTAGATCTACAGATCTGAAACCATTAGACTTTTTCTTATGGGGACGCTTAAAATTTGCGGTATACAAAACTCAGCCTTATATAAAAATTATTTGAGACGTTTTGTAAATAAAAATTTCAACAACTTATATTTTATTTTATTAATTTAACAACATATTTTTATAAACATACTTGCATTGAATGCATATTTACAATACCTTCTGCTACATCAGCAATTTGCACATGTTTTGTAAACTCAGTTTTACACGAAAATAAAACAACGAGGTTTATTTCTGTACAACCTCTTAATCTTCATTTTGTACGTGTGGAAAATGA